TCATCTTGGCTTTAAAAGTAATATTCAAGTCTGTCTTGGAGAAAGCTCAGATGGAACATCAGCTTCGGAGAGAGATAGAAATCTTAAGTCATCTCAGGTAACCCAGCTGGAATGACATGGGATGAATGTTTAGCTCTTAGTTGGATGGAGTTATCCTTGTCCTATTGCCCCTTTAGCTCTATCCTTTGGAACTAGATCATTGGAAAATATGGGTTTTGAAATATAAACATAGAGCATAGCTGGAGGCTGTACTGTTTCAGCATACAACCAAAATCCACTGCTCACCATCTTTTTAGAGCAAGATAGTATTTCCAAACATTGAAAAAATTGTTAGATCTGTGCAGAATAGTTTTGACGTTGCCTCAAGATCTGGATAGTTTCTTCTACCACATAGACGAAAGCTTCCATGAGTATTCAGAACAAAACAGTGCAGATGTTCTGAAGGGAAGTGCCACTTAAAAAGCTGCTTCAACTGAAGCGTTGAAGCAAAACTTCCTTTAAAAAAATTGTAGTGCATGGCCCTAACGCAGATTCCAAATTAGTGCCTCGATCTCAAACTAATCCAGTCTTTTAAAATCAAAAGTACCGGTAGTTTGTCCCCTTCCTTGAGTTGGAAGTGGACTTTTTTTTAGATTATCCCCTAACTTTTGTGGACTATCCTTGAGACAGGAGTGTCTATCAACATTCCTTTCTAAAGTCAATTTTCTAATAAGTCCCTTTTGGATCACCAATCACAGTTGTAAAATTCTTCCCATTCCCCCCCCCCCATGCTCTTTCTAGACATCCAAACATTTTAAGAATGTATAACTACTTTCACGATAAGACACGGATTTTTCTGATGCTGGAATATGCTCCAGGGGGAGAGCTGTACAAGGAATTACAAAAAAATAATCGATTTGATGATAATAGAACGGCCACTGTAAGTACTATCCTGTTAGATGAATATATTCTGTTAGAACCAAAACATAAGAAAAGCACTGAACGTTAACGTATATACATAATTGGATTAATTACAAGTAATCATAATATATTTGTCTGAGATACCAATAATCACAGAATTGGGTAATGAGAACGGGATGGGGGAGTAGGGCAACCATCCTTGTTCTCCTTGACTACTCACTAGCCTTCAATATCATTGGCCATTATATGCTTTTGAGTTGGCTATGGGGCAGGGGCTGGGTTACATTG